TTATTCGATCGATATAGGTCATTGAATTTTTAAAAAGGTTAAAACGAATCTTTTTGGAGGAATCATAATACTGGAAATCGTAGTTCCCTTTAGTTGAAATTGATTTACTTTTTTTATTTTTGGTCAAATAAGTATATCAGTATTTCAAAATTTAATAAATAAAGAATTTGATACGTATTCAAATATCTCAGTTAATTTCAAAAGTTACGGGACAGTCGGTAATGTATAAGGATGCGGAAAAGCATCCACATGTTTTGTGGTAAAAATAAATGTACCTCTATATACTCGGAACACTTATCCGAACGTAGCGAGAGTATTTTTCTTTCAGAAAATTCTTACCAGTTTTATTTATCGATGACTTTTGAAAATACAAAAATATGATTATGTACAGTAAAGGTACAAAAAATTTGACATCAATCAATCAATAATTTATAGATTTAAAAAGATAACTTGTGACTTTAATTGCATTCTTTTAACTGCTTGCTACTTGAGAAATTTTATAAAAACAATCTATCTCTGGGTTCAATAAAATTTTTCCTTGTCCTTCAAACGGGTTTGCATTAAATAGGATATCGACAATTCTGTGTAAAGATAAAAGGGAAAGTATCATGTTTTTAACAAAATTTTGTATTATTGCATTTTAGTTTTGATTAAAACCTTAATTTTTAGTCAAAAATTCTCAGAATCTGATTTCCCTAGCAATCTTCCCAAATATTAAAGTCGTAATTTAACATAACAAAGCCTCGTATTAAATTAGATACTTCGAATTAGAGGCCTGCATAAGTTCAAATTTTGAGGCCCGACTTAATAATATGACAACCCATAATAATTATTGAAGTGCACAATGTAAATTTAATTACATTTTATTGTTGATTGCTCGTGCATGTTATACTCCTTTTCTATTAATAAATAATGTATTAATCTTCTAATTATTATAAACTTGACATTTAAATGTGAATTCCAATTAAAATAACTAATTTCTTTAACAAGGAAGAATAAATTTGTCGCAGAATAATTTTAAGAAAAATCGAATCCTAGACTTGGAAATTAGAATTAAGTAAGTAGATCAAAGTAACGTTCACAAATCATGCATTTAGAAGAAAAAGGTTATAGCGTGAGAAGAGCAGCTAAATCCAAGCAAGAAACAATAAATAATAGTTAATAAAGATTAGAGAATGAGAAGAAACAACCAAAGTCAATCAAGAAATTATTGATGAATTGGAAGAAAGGATCAGAAAATTTGAATTAATCATTTATGTTGATAGTTAGTTACTAATAAGGATGACATATTAAACACTTTGATGGATTGCAAATACAGTATATCGAAAATTAACAATAATCGCTGTAAGACTCAAATAATCAGCATGTCTACCTAACTCCTCAGAGTAACTTTATTGTCAAAGGGTCTTAAATTACCAGCTTATCGATTTTATCTAGTTCTTTATGAAGAACGAAAATAATCAATTTTACCTAACTCTTTAACAAACTTATGGAGTTTGAATACCCGATTCTTAACGGGATATCAAACCTGAATTTTTAAAAACTCAATACTCCAATAAACTTTCCTTTTTTTATAAGCGAATATTTAAGTCAAAATTTTGGTTTTTTAATAATCACATTGTCTTATTAACATAATTAGGTTTGAACTTTTTCTTTTCAAATTATAAATTTCATTACAATATGCTTTTCTTTAAAAAAAAGAATTAATTATATTGACTAAAAAATATGATTTGACATTATATTTTTAAATAATCAGGTTATCTATTATACATGTCGCTCGGGTAAGATTTTCAAAAAAAAAAACATATAATAGCATTGTAGTTTATTTCATAAGCTAATGATACATTTTATATAATAAATGATCATAATTACTTCTTTCACTTGTCTGACGATGTAAATAATAGCTTAATTAATATAATTACAACGATTTCAAATTCAAACTGACCTTCATTTGCTCTCCAATCTAAATGAAAAACACGTGACTATGGATAAAATCCTCCAAGTTATAATCATCACATAACTCATGAAACTTTTTTGGAGTAAATCCAGCTCGACTTCCCCTTGATATCAATTTAAATTTATAAGGTAAATATAATTCTCTTGTATGAGCAAATCTGCTTTGAATATCTATTTTATCAATCCATCTTGAAATCAAGGAAACAATATTTAAATTAACGATCTTTGTGTCCACAATTCCATCAGCGTTTCTACTTCTAGGAAGTAAAATACTATCACTTGGGCTCACTTCCTGGATCAAATAAGAATTTAGTAAATCTTCGTAAAGTTGTTGATTCAAAAGCTTTTTATATGGACGAACTTTTTTGATGATATCTTCAGAAGATAAACTAAAAAATCTAATTAAGGGCAAACAGTGTTGTAAAGTACACTCCATCATTTTGAAATCATTATTTGACCAAGCCCCAGGATCAGAAACAAGTGTAGGATTTTTTCAAAACCCCATTTTAATATGTATTCCCAAATTTCAGCCACTCTCATTTGTAAGTCATCTCGTTTGATAATTGAAATTAAGGCCATTTCATAAAGAGAAGTAAAGTCAAGTGATTTAAATACCTTGTCAGGTGATTTGACCAAAAGTTCTGTACAATATTGTTGAAGTTCAGATAAGAATTAGATTGACAGCTTTGGAATTAGTTCGTTGAAAATGTTTTTATATCCAGTCGGGTTTGTCTTTAATTAAAAAATTTTGTAAATATTCAACTAACTCATGAAGGAGAAGCTCATTAGCTGCACTCAAGATTTCGAAAAAATCCGAGGTATCACACTCATCTAATGAAATTATTCCGCCGTAAATATATAACATTATAATATATCGAAACTTACTTCAAAATAATTTGAAAGGTTTCCGGTAAAATATTTGGCAATTTTATGTGCGTTAAGTTCCCATTATTATTTTTTTTATTGGAAGCCAAAGTTCGTCGAAAAAATGGAGAACGGTGACACAATATAATCATGTGTGCATGAATATTTTCACGTTTGGGTCTTCCCCTGTTTCGATTGTAATATCATAATATTCGTCGTCGTCCAATTTTTCAATATAATTTTGACTTAATTTGGGAAAAAATTGTGTCAACATATTTGCTCATAAATTTTCAAAGAAAATCTTTTTGGGAAAGAAAAAAAATTTGTAAATCCTTTTATATCATCATCGAAATTCTCCGAACCAATCAGAATTGATACATGCATTACTTAATTAAGACTAGTCCAGATTTAATTTTAGCCAAAGTTTTTACGTTAAATTTTTATTGATGAAATGTTAAAAGAGAAAATGTATGTAAGAAAATAAATAGGCTGGTTCGTTCGTTAACAAAAATTGACAAATTATATGAAATTGCCATCTTACTAGTTTGGAGAATTGGTTAACATGGATTACAAATATTGTCGGCGCAATCTTTTTCCTAAATTAAAGAAAGCATCTTCATCATGAAATTACTATGAATTGACTAAGGATGTGTAAATAATAGGGTTGAAATTAGTTTAAAAAATTAACCGTAAGTTACAAAATTTTATTAAGCATTGAAAAGACAAATATATCAGTTTATCTTACATTGATTCAAATTATCAAGTTATTAAATTTAAAATTTAAGTTGCAACGTTGATAGATGAGGAATATTTTAAATTTGAAATCAAAGTCATGAATGTAATTGAAATTTTATTTGATGGTCTTTCTTACAAACAAAATTGAAAAGTAATGAGTTTACTTAATACTATATTATCAATAATTCTATTTCATCTTAAAATGAAATTAGAAATATAAATACTGCTGATACTTTTTTTTTAAAATAATCGATTAGCAATTATATTATTTGAAGTTAAAAAAAAAGTTTTAGCAACACAGTTATGATAATTTATTTATTATTTATTTATTAACTAAAGATTCGTTGAGACTTACTTATATTATAAATTATAAGCAAATATTATTCATCTCTATAAAAATATCCGTTGGGCCAGGAGAGGTAAAAAATTTATTTAGAAGATTTAAGTATATAACTTAAATGGTGGAAAAAAAGTATTTTATTTTCTTGTCGCATAGCTTGGACGCAGTTTGTTTTTTGTAATTATACGCGAAGTATAATATAACACGCGATAAGGTACGGGAAGAAGAGGTTGTGTAAAACTTGCAAGTATAGTCAAAAAAAATTTAGCGCACGATAATTGTCAAGTTTGACAGTAGCTTATAATCGCAGATGTTTAAAACGCATGATATGTAATAAATGTAACATACATTTATTTTCCAAACCTTAAGTAGGGCAATTTATAGAAAGATTAATTATTTTCACACAAATATTATTATTGTACTTTCCAATTCTCGTTCACTTCATTACAGAAAATTTGAGCTAATAACCTTGAATTAATCCTTTCCCCTTCTCCGTTGCGATATTATCTCTTTCGCTATTTTATCTCCATGATATTTCTTATGTTTCAACGAACGTAGTTTTAATTAATTAGCATTTACTGATTAGCGTTTAGTTTAGTTAATAAAATTGAAGTGCGAAAGTGTAGAGCGCCGAACACTGATTAATTAATTTTATTGAACAACTAGTTGATGAAATCATTTGCGAAAATTTGTAATTAAAGCACTCAGGTATGGATCTCTTAACCTCCAATTCGTTTCTTACGTAAATGGTCATCTTCCATATGCTTCATTTAAAGGTATCCATTGCTGAATGTCTTTTAACAATACGGGAGGAATGGTTTAGATTTTCATTTTCTGATTCTGAAGATGCCTGTGGTATCATAGAATATATGATCGAATCTATGACATAAAATGAACAACCACTCACTTGCGAAATTACTTCTTTATTTTTCATACTTCCAGCTTAAACCTGGCAAAGTATCACCTCTATCTAAGTTCTCCAACCACGGTGACGACGAAAGACATTGTTATTTGAGTTTCGCTGATAAACCCAGATCTGATCATTAATAGAATCGATTAGCCACGGATGTATCTGAACAAACATATGTTTCTTTTGAATTTGGAATCAAGCATTTTGACCTCGAACGGAGGAGCCTTGCTCTTGAGTCAGATTTCGATAAATATTTTTAGCGTTAAGGCAACATTTGGAGCTTGAATCTCGCTTGTTTCGAGTATAAAACCACCTGCGAGGAAGACATGCTATCGTTCTGTCCAGTCTGGATGTTCCAATTACGGAGGGAGTTGTCCTACGCTTTTCGATACAGCAATTTCCTTGAAAATTGGTGTTTGCGACATAAGAACGATCGCCAGATTTATCAAGTTTGAAATGACTGATGAGAAAATTTTTTCCTACGATTTTTGAGCTGATCGTTTTATAATTTCAAACTCTTCGAGAGTGTAAGTGCGATCTAGGTCCAAATGATCCAAATAATCCGACTTCCTAGCAATTTTCTTATTCCTATCAACACTTACAGTTCCACCCACTGACGTAGATTTATCGTTTTAGACATGTTTGCTTGGCCAAAATTAAAGAAAGTGAGAGAGATCGTTGACAACAGTTTATAAACTTTTTTAGCCTATAATTTACTGCGCTAATCAGAACGTGCCGTCGATTGACGAAAATCAAATGTCACTTTATGTTATGAGCCAGAAAAATGGATCAGCATCGTGATAGGCATGTTTCAAGAAGCTAGCCAAGCATAAATATAACATACCTCTGTGGAATGTTCTTTCCTCCTTCTGCCTTCGTTAGATTTATCTCTTTTACTGACGATGGAAAGAACCGTAATTTTATCAATATCAAGAACAGAGGATTTTTACTTGTATAAAAATAAGTATTTATTAAGGTTTTATTTAATTGTTTTTATATAAGCTACTTGATATCACAAAAAATAATCGTCTACATCTTGTGAACAAGCACGATAATTACATTTAATATAAATAATTTTTTTTTTAATATAACGCATGGAACATCCAGATATTTATTTACAGTACATTCATGGAAAGGATTGTTATTTTATTTGTTCAAAAGCAAATATTGAATTGCTATAATAATGAGCGAATAATGTGTGTCGCAGCACGCACAGCACATAAGACATATAATTGTTTATAATCATTAGCTTAAATCAGAACTCTCTACTTCGATCGGATTTAATTGTTTGCCTAATTTGCATAAATATTTTATAAAATTTCCGGTATAGTACTCATGAAATCAAATCATACAAATTACGATAGGTTATGAAGTTCAATATAAATAAATTTGGGAGGGAATTCATCAAAAATGATTGGAGCGCAGTAAACATGGCTGCTCTTTATTTAATTTTTTTTTTTTTTTTTTTTTATAAGTGCGGCAGTCTCGCATGATCTTTATTAATATTTATGAGTTTACAAGAAAAA